CTGTACCCTGTTGTCTCAGATTTTCCAGCATCTGCAGTTCCTACTATCTCTGGTCTGTTCAATCCCTGGTTATAATATTATTACCTGCATTACCATTCATTGCCAAGGTATTATTTTCTGCATAAGATTCTTTCATTTATTACATTTAATGCTTAATTATTTCACGAGTTATAATTTTTTCAAAATGCAATAATTGACTTTTCTCATGCCTGTGCATCTTTCTCATTTCTGTGGGTCATGTCTAATTACTAATGGGTGCAACTTTTGCAAACGTTTAATGTGATACAAATTATAAATTACTTATGGCATGAATAGTACAGGGATTAGGTTGAAAATGATCTTCTGTTGTACAGTTATCTTCATTTATCTGTTTGACCAGGTGCTGTACAAGTGGTGACTTGGAATGAACAGTACCAGAAGCTGACAACTAGTGACCAGAATGGTCTAATTATTGTGTGGATGTTATATAAAGGTCAGTTAATACTTCTGTGGTAAACAGCAGAATTGATTATGATGTGCATAATATGCTTATTATGAAATGACGTATTGGACACTTGCATTACAAAGATCTATCACATCAGAAGTACAGCACAGAAATTAGACCATTCAACCCAATCCTCTATGCTGGTGCTCCACTCAAACCTCTTCCCTTTTTTTTTCTCGACTAAATCTACTTTTTGTCTACTCATGGGACATGGGCATTCTGAGCTGGCTAGCATTTATTGCCCATGCCTAGTTTTCCTTGAACATTTCATTGTACAATTGAGAGTCAACCACATTTCTGTGGGTCTGGAGTCACATAGTGGCATAGTGTTGAGGATGACAGATTTCTTCCCTAAAGGATGTTAGTGAGCTAGATGGGTTTTTTGTACAATTGGCATTGGTTTCATGGTTATCAGGTAGGTTCTTAATTCCATATTTTTTATTGAATTCAATTTTCACATCTGCTGAGGCGGGATTTGAACCCCGGTCCCCAGAACATTAGCTGGAGTTCAGAAGAATGAGTGGGGATCTGCTTAAGGTATATAAAATATTCAAGGGAATTGATAAGGTGGTGTTGAACAGATGTTCCCCCTTGTGAGATAGTCTAAAACAAGAAGTCGTAGGTGTAGAGTGAGAGGAGGTTCAAAATTGAGATGAGGAGAAACTACTTCTCTGTGGGTTGTGAATCTGTGAAACTCACTGCTACAGAGTGCTGTGGACGCAGAGTCAATCAACAGATTAAAAAAAAAAGTTTCTGATGAAAAGTGGGATAAAGGCTGTGGGGAGCAGGTAGGAGAGTGGTGTTGAGACCAGGATAAGCCATGATCATGTTAAATGGCAGAGCGGGCTGGAAGGGCTGGATTGCCTACTCTCGCTCCTAATTTTTATGTTCCTACGTTTGTGGATTAATAGTCTGGCATAGTTCCACTTTGCCATCACCTCCTTTTTCCCTTTAAACTGCCTTATTCACTTTAAACACTCCTTGTGGTAAGCCAAATCTGAATAAATGGTCCTTATCACACTGTGTAAAAAAGCTTCTTCTGAATTCCTGATTGAATTTCTTGGTGACCAGCTCATATGGATTTGCAATGCATAGTAATGCCAGCAGCGTAGGTTTAGTTCCTGCACTGACTAAGTATAAGAAGGTCCTGCCTTCTCAATCTCACCCCTTGCCTGAGGCTTGGTGACCCTAATGACAAACTCACCCCCATTTTTCTCTCTCTGAGGAGAGAGTAGCCCGCTGACCCCATGGTGACTTTACCTTAACCAACTTACCTTTACATAATGTCCTTTCTTATTTTGGATCGCACCATTTAGAAATAGAAGATATTTATATTGCAATTAAGATTAAATAAGTCTGACCTCCTATGAATATTAATACGCATGTTTCATTTTTACATATACCATAGGGCAAGGAAATCGATGAGAGAGAGCCTAGTTGGTGGCACAGTCTTATAATAGTTGTAGCACCAAGAAACATTAATAAGTTGAAAAATTTCAAGATAAAGATGAAAAGTAAAAATAACACTGGGAGTAAAGTTAGAGCAAGTGGTAAATTAGAAGGAAATTTATTCTTGGAATTTTTGTGTGTATAGGGAACCCAAATTTAAAAGAGAAAATGTGACTGTGAGGATGTTATAGCTGTGCACTTGTGAGGATATTGTATCTATGCATTTGAAAATTTATTTAGGAAAAATAACAAAATGTAATGTTCCTACGCATTATAACTGAAGATGTTCACTGCAGCAGTTTTCCAGTTGTTCTCTGAACAAGATTGAAACAATTAATTGTTAGTTTTTGCTTTTTTTAAAAATTAAACCCCATGTTTGTGAATTGATTACAGGCTCTTGGTATGAGGAAATGATTAATAACAGAAACAAATCTGTGGTTCGCAGTATGAGCTGGAATGCTGATGGACAGAAAATCTGTATTGTGTATGAAGATGGTGCTGTCATTGTGGGTTCAGTGGATGGTAATATATTTCAGACTGAAGAATTAAAACATGAATTAGATTGTGATATTCAGATATCTAGAACTTTTATGGATTATTCAGTTTAATAAATTTCCTTGTCACTTCGAATAAAAATGCTCTAAATATTTATGATATCATTGTCCATTGAAATTAATTTCATAGCTATATTGCTGTTTATTAATGAATCATTTATAATAATTTAATTATGTATGTTAACAGTTTTGAAACCATTGTCTTACTGCTTACCTGTAACTGCTAATATTAACTTATTGATGATTAATGTTTTCTTTGATTGTCTCATGTTTTCCGTATTTCGTCAGGTAATCGTATTTGGGGTAAGGAATTGAAGGGCCTCCAATTAACTCAAGTTGCATGGTCACCAGACAGCAAGATTCTTATATTTGGCATGGCGAATGGAGAAATACACATATATGACAGCCAAGGAAATTTTATTGTAAGCTTATAGTTTTTTCATTTTGCCATTCTTATGGAACTTTTGCATGTACTTGCATATTTATCAAGGCTCAATTCTAAGTATCCTAGTAAAGAGAATGCCACTAAATTTTTAAAAGTGCAATGTTTGAGATCATTCAGAATTGGCTCACATTTGGAGGCGTACAGAAAGTATGATTAATTAGGATGAATACTATTGTGTTCAGTTAGGATGAAGTATACATCTTTACTTATGAAAATTATCAATTATGAAAGCCTCTTGAGAAAGAATTATGATTTTAATATTAATTTTTACTTCATCTGCTGAAACTATGATCTTATTAGACTAAATTAATTGATAGCAAATTAAAAACAGAATTGTGTACAAAATGCATAATGGCAAAATATATTTCAATTTTATTTTCGTAGTGTAGGTATAATTTAATAGCTGTTTGATACATATCAAGATTAAAACCGTTCCAGGGGAGGCAGAGTAGTCTTGTGACGATGTCGCTGGACTAGTAAATTAGAACTCTAGACTAATGTTCTGGGGATATAGATTTAAATCTCACCATGGCAAATGGTGAAAATTCAGTTCATTAAAAAACTGCAATTAAAAATCAAATTTATTGTCATTAAAAACCATCTGGTTTACTAATACCCTTTAGGTAAGGAAAGCTGCCGTCCTGCCTGATCAGGCCTGCATTTGAATATAGACTCACAGCAACTGCCCTCTGCACATTAGGGATGGATAATAAATACTGGCATGTTGAATAAATGTAATAAAAAGGCATATCTGTCATCTAACTTAATATGTATTCCGTATGTCTTTTTTTTAGGTAAAGCTGGTGCTACAATGTCTTGCCAATGTGACTGGTGCAGTCAGTATTGTTGGTATCCATTGGTATTCAGGAACTGAAGGCTATGTTGAACCAGACTGTCCCTGCCTAGCTATCTGCTTAGACAATGGTCGATGTCAAATAATGCGTCATGAGCATGATGAAAGTGAGTATTATCATTATGTAAATAGGCCATAGAATTTTTTCCAGGACTTTTATTATCTTTTTTAGTTTATTCACCATTGCTGATATACCCATACCTGAAATAGTGCAATATTTTGCAAATGTTATATGAATATTGTCAGTATTAGCGTCAGCAGTGTCTTAATTGGTAGCACTCAAAATTCATTCTGACACTATCAGTATAATACTGGGGGAGTGATAAACTGATTGAGGTGTCATTTTTTGGATGAGTCTTTAAACCGAGGCCTAGTCTGATCCCTCAGGTGCAGTCTTCTTGTATTTTTCATAACAGATGCTGTGTTGATTGATACTGGTATAAATGTGGTTGGCATTCAGTGGAACCACTGTGGGAGTGTATTAGCTGTTGCTGGTTCCCAAGTATCAGCCGGCCAAGATAAACAGATCAATGTTGTACAGTTTTACACTCCATTTGGTGAGGTGAGAGAGTTTTTTCTGATTTTGATAGTTGGAATTTTAAGTTAACTGTGTAGCCTATTTCATAAAAGCCTCATTTTTTCTAAAGAAAAGGTTTATGCTTGTTTGAATTACGAAGTCTGAATCTTCAAGCTCATGTTCTAAACATTTGAATTGAGGAAGTTAATAGCATTGTTTAAGCAAACTTAATTATTTCTATATACAAATTGTCCTCTGTAGTTGCTGACAAAACATGACCATGCCTCAAAGTAATTGGCTGTGTAATGATTTAGGATGTTCTAAGGAAACAAATTATTCGGTCTAAACATGAGTTTTGTTGTTTCTTTCTTTACCAGAAGTGTTTGAGGAATTATAATCGTTCTTTGTATAAAGGTTTTAAGTCAGAGTATTCAATCTGAAATATCTAAAATTATCTAGATCAACATCAATTTCAGACTGAAGATGCAGTTGGTAAATTTGAAGAATACTGCCATATTGTATGTTACATTCTTGGTATTTTGAGTTATGATATGTGTTTTCTCCACTATGCCAATTTCTCAAGCATTTGCGTACGTTAAAAGTGTCTGGCAAGCAGATGTATGCAGTGTCATGGGAAGGAGGAGGGCTGAGAATTGCGCTTGCTGTTGATTCTTTTATTTATTTTGCCAACATCAGACCAGATTACAAGGTAAAACCAGTGACATCCCTAAATATTTTTGCATGCTCTAAAGTTATGCAGTTGTTCATTTCTTCACATAAAATGTTTACATTTTTAGTTAAGAATTATACAATGTGCTTAACAAAAAAACCTACGTTGTTAATTATTTGTAAAATCCAAGTACTGAAGAAATATCTCAGCTCACATAATCAACCATGATAATGAGTGTAATTTAATGCCCCTTGCCATCTTTCCCCCATCAACTCCCATTGACAGCTTTAATTCTAGGTTTGACTATTGCAGTGCATTCCTGGCCTACCTTCTACCCTGCACCCTGTATAATTTGGAGTGCTCTAAAACTTTGCTTACCATTTCATAACCTGTATCCGTTCCTGTTCACTTCTCTTTTGAGTTTGTTGGTCTACTTTGGCTCCCAATCTGGCAATAGCACAGTTTCAAAATTCTTAAAATTGTTTTCAAATCTCTCTGTAACCTTGCCTCTCTACATCACTGAAACCTGCTTCATGCCTGTAAGCCATGTCTGTGTTCCTCTCTTTCTGACATCATCTCTGATTGCTATCACAATATTGAAACAAATACTATGCTTTGAACTTGAATAGATCTAAGCTCTGCAATTCCTTCCCTAAACCTCTCTCCATCTATCTTTAGTACACTACTCAAAATGCATTTGTGCTTTTGGTCAACAGTCGCAAATGATGGCAGGACTCGTCATTCTGTCCCCCTAATTTTGGATTCAATCATGAGAGGAATCATCCACTCAGCATCTACCCTTTCATTTGCCTCAGGATCCTTCTGTGTTTCTATAAGATCACCTCTCATTTTTCTATTGTCCTATCTTTTTCTCATAGGAAACTCCTTCAACACAGGAGTCAGTCTAATAAATATTCTGTGAACTAGTTCCAATGTAAATAGATAATCCTTCTTATAAGGAGGTGAAAACTAGACTCATTACTCCAGATGTGGTCTCACTAACATTTTAGACATATTTAGCAAGACCTCTCTATACTCTACCGTCCCCTTGATAAAAGGTCAACATTCCCTTTCCCTTCCCAAAGATTTACTGTAACTGCATGCTAACACAATATGTTCTGTCATTTTAGTGACTTGTGGTCTAAAGAACCTTTTTTAATGAATCTATAACTTTTTTTTGCATTAAGCAAACATGCTGATCTAATTTTTCACCTTTTGGCAGTGGGGTTATTGCTCCAACACAGTAGTGTATGCATATACCAGACCAGATCGACTGGAATACTGTGTAGTCTTTTGGGACACCAAGAACAATGAAAAGTATGTAAAATACGTAAGGAGTCTGATTTCAATAACTACATGCGGAGACTTTTGCATTTTAGCAACCAAAGCTGATGACAGTTCTCCTCAGGTAGGAGATTATTTCTACAATTTACTAAATTTCGCAAAAATGTTGCAACTGAAATATTTAGTCAACTGTTCATTCACCCATCTATCCCAAAAATTGATTGAATAAAATGCTTGCGAGACAGATCAACTGATCTTTGCTCTGTAATTGATATACAACAATGACGAATAGTTGACTTGAAGTTCAAACGTTAACATAGATCAGGCATGATCTAATTGAAAAGCAGTGCTGGCTTGAGCGTTTAAATGTCCTACTTTTGAGTTTAACTTTTCCCTAATCTGCTATCAAGGAAATATACAGTGATATGTAGAGATGTGATATTTTCGGGCAAGGATAAGAAAGCACTGTTGCCAGAAAATGGTCACAAATAATAAAAGATATATACCTAAAACAAACTGCTCCTGTTCAAGGCCCCAGATCATCAGAATTTCCTGCCCTAAACTTTACCTGCAACTGCATGTTATGCCTCAGATATCAGAAATCTTTTGCTACTGATGAAAATGGATAACCAGAAAATCTCAACTCCATTTAGCCTTGTGGAGGTGAGCAGATGGTATGAATTACTGCAATTTAATAAGAACTTTATTCCAATTGCTTGGCTTGACTTTGTAATTCTCATGGATTCCTTGTAGGAGTGTGAGGCTAATCAGAGTAGCATGTTCTCTGGATTTACCTGCACCCAAGCATTCAGTCAGTGAATGATCTGGACAGGTTGGGTGGTGAGAACATTTAACTTCCATTTCTTCTTTTGGATTTCCACTCCTTTTATCTCATCTTCCTGTTTGGAGAGGAAAGAATCAGGAAAATTGGCCCAAATTCCTCCTTTTCTAAACAGCTATTTCCCACTTCTGTAATTCACCAATTATATTTGTCTGTTGGTGGACCAACAGGAGGCTAGAAGAACACAGCAGGCCAGACAGCATCTGGAGGAAAGGAGCAGTCAACATTTTGGGTATTACCCTTAACTGAAGAAAGGTAATACCCAAAAGTTGACTCTCCTTTCCTCCATATGCTGCCTAGCCTGCTGTGTTCCTCCACTCTCCTGTTTGTCTAGTTTGGATTCCAGTATCTGCAGTTTTTTTTGTCTCTAACTATATTTGTTTGTTATTTTCCTCCCTAATTTTAACATTCTCCCCAATTACATTCGTTTAGAATCATAATCCAGCTAAATGAAAATTATGGGAGATTCCAATGTTAATTTCTTCCACTGTAAAACATCAAATCAAAGTTTAAAAAAAATTTCAAAAGAAGTTCAAGAGGTTAAGCTTGAATAGCCTATTCCCTATTCACAAGTAGCAACTGTGCTGGTTTTGAATTTGTCAGCATTTTAGACCATAAGACTAGGCAGGTAATGCAGGAATCTCCTGTGACCATCCCTCTGCAAAATAGATACATTGCTTTGAATGCTGCTAGGGAGAGGAGGAAACTGCTGCTTAGAGGGAAGTGGTAGCCACCAAACTCATTGCACTGTAGTTGGTTCTGCTTCACCGGAAAGGAGGAGAAGGAGTGGAAATGCTATATTAACAGGGGTTCAGTTGTAAGGGAAACAGATGGACAGTTTTGTGGCCACAAACGAAACACCAAGATGATCTGTTGCCTCACCTATGCTAGGGTCGAGCATATCTCGTTGTAGCTGCAGGACATTCTGAAGTGATCAGGGTACATATTAGTACAACAACATATGTAAGAAAAGAGCTGAGATCCTAAAAGTAGAATATAGGGAATTAGGAAGCGAGTTTAAAAATTAGGACCTCAAAAGTAGTGATCTTGGGATTGCTAAAGATGCCATGAGCCAGACAGCTTAGAAATAGCAGGATATACCAGGTGAACATGTGGCTAGAGAAAGAGTGCAAGAGGGAGGGTCTATGATTCCTGGGATATTGGGATCAGTTCTGAGGGAAGTGTCACCAATATAAGCTGGATGGGTTGCATCTGAGCAAGACGAAAACTAATGTCGTAGTCATACAGCACAGCAACAGATCCTTTACTCGTCCATGCCAGACATCCCAATCTGACCCAGTCCCATTTGCTAGTATTTGGCCCATATCCCTCTAAACCCTTCCTAATCATATACCCATCCAGATGCCTTTTAAATGTTGTAATTGTACCAGTCTCCACCACTTCCTCTGGCAGCTCATTCCGTACATGTACCATCATCTGTGTGAAAAAGTTACCCCTCTAAGTCTTTCCCTTCTCGCCTTAAACCTATGCCTTCTAGTTTTGGACTCGCCCTCAGAAAAAGATCTTGGCTATTCACCCTATCCATGCCCCTCATGATTTTGTAAACCTCTATAAAGTCACCTCTCACCCTCCCACTCTCCAGGGAAAAATGCCTCCGCCTATTCAGCCTCTCCCTATAACTCATACCCCCTAATTCTGGCAACATCCTTCCTCGGGGAAATACTTGTATTTGTGGCCAGGGAGGGTTTAAGTTAAAATGGGAAGCAGATGGGAATCTATACAGGGAGACGGGTGACAGGGAGATAAGGACTAAAACAAAAGATATAGTGTATTCTGTGTTATGTATGAATGATACATAAAAAGCAGGCCAAATCCAACCTGGCTAATTACTGCTTCATCAGTCCACTCTTAATTATCAGTAAAGTGATGGATGGTGGCATCAACAGTGCTATCAAGCAGCACCTGCTTAGCAATAACCTGCAGAGTGACGTGCAGTTTGGGTTCCACCAAGGCCACTGAGTGTCTGACCTTATTACAGCCTCGGCTCAAACGTGGACATAAGAGCTGAACTCCAGAGGTGAGGTGAGGGTGACAGCCCTTGACATAAAGGCTGCATTTAACCAAGTGTAACATGAAGGAGTCATACCTGGCATGTAGGAAGATGGTTTTGGTTGTTGGAGGTCCGTCATCTCAGCTCCAGGATATCTCTGCAGGAGTTCCTCAGGGTAGTGTCCTAGGCACAACCATCTTCAGCTGCTTCATCAATGACCTTCCCTACGTCATGAGGTCAGAAGTGGAGATGTTCGCCGAAGATTACACAATGTTCAGCACCATTCGTTATTCCTCAGACTGCTCCGCAGACCGTGTTCAGATGCAAGAAGATCTGTACAATATCCAGGCTTGGGCTGACAAGTGGCAAGTAACATTCGTGCCACACAAATGTCAGACTATGACCATCACCAATAAGAGACAATCTAACCACTGCCTCTTGACATCCAGCGGTGTTACCATCACTAAATCCCCCATTATCAAAATGCTGGAGGTTATCATTGACCAGAAACTCAACTGGATTCGCCGCATAAACACAGTGGCTGCAAGAGCAGGTCAGATGCTAAAAAAGTCCAGTGTGCAACTCACCTCCTGACTGTCCAAAGCCTGTCCATCAACTACAAGCTACAAGTCAGAAGTCTGATGGAAAACTCCCCACTTGCCTGGATAAGTGCAGCTCCAACTACACTCAAGAAGCTTGACACCATCCAGGACAAAGCAGCCCGCTTGATTGGCACGACATCCACAAATATCCACTGCCTCCACCACTGACGCTCAGTAGCAGCAGTGCGTGATATCTGTAAGCTGCACTGCAGAAATTCACCGAAGATCCTCAGACAGCATCTACTAAACCCACAACCACTTCCATCTAGAAGGACAAGGACAGCAGATACATGGGAACACTACCGCCTTCAAGTTCCCCTCCAAGCCACTCACCATCTTGACTTGGAAATATATTGCCATTCCTTCACTGTCGCTGGGTCAAAATCCTGGAATTCCTTCCCTAATAGCACTATGGGTCAACCCATAGGAGGTGGACTGCAGTGGTTCGAGAAGGCAGCTCACCACCACCCTCTCAAGGGCAACTAAGATTGGGCAAGAAATGCTGGCCAGGCAGCAATGCCCATATCCCACAAATGAATTTCAAGGAAAAGGAAGGCAGGAAGAAGACAGCGAATTATAGACTGGTTAGCTTGACATTGGTAATGGGAAAAAAATGATAAAGTCCATTATGAAATATGTAATAGCAACTACTATGATAAAAACAAAAGCTTGCTGATGCTAGAAGCTTGAATTAAAATATTGGAAATACTCAGCAGGTCTAGTAGGATTGTGAAAAGGACCAGTCATCTTTCCATCTCTCTGTGCATTCAGATGATCATAGTCCAATATTTCCACCATATTTAACTTGATGCAATGACCAAATGCATCTTCCCCTTCCCTTTCAACACGGTGAAGTACAGTAGAGTTTGGCAAAGCTGACCAGCTTTCTAGAATTGAAATAATGATGCTTATATTAAGAAATAGCTAAATGGCAAATTTCAAAGTCAGCTAATAGGATTCACCCCTGGGAAATCAACTGATGATTCAAGTTGGACTGTGTTCAGTCAAAAGAGTTGGTCAAATGACTGTTCTCTTTTTTTTTTGTTATTTATGCTGTCATCGTGAGGACCTGCAGTGGAAAATATGTTTCATCAATAGAATTGGTAAAATAGTGTCTATATTACTGTAGTAGCAATCCACAGGCCTGGACTAACAATCCAGATACATGCGTTAAAATCCCATCATGGTATCTGAAGAATTTAAATGCAATTAAATAATTCTGGAATAAAACGATCTGAAATTGTCAACATGAAACCCGTCTGGTTCACTAATATCCTTTGGGGCAGGAAATCTGCTGACCTTGCAATGTCTGACCAATTGTAACTCTAACCTCAAAGCAATGTGATATATTGTTAAACTGCCTCTGATCTGACCTAGTAAACAAAACTTGAGGATAAGACAAATGTAAACTTTATCTTTATCTTATGACATACTGTGTTATGTACTGATTTTGAACAATTGTAAGCATACTGCCATTTTATTCTGTTGTGTCACTTACTTATTTTTCTGTTTATGCGCTGCACTTGAAAGGATGAGAATGAGATGGAGTCTGTAGTTGCTATGGTAACCATTTCCATAATTTACTTCCGTGCTATTGGGGAAATTTTACAAGGTACTTTTCGGTGGGTTTAGAGACAAGAATTAGAAAAAAATAATGTTGTACATGAATGCCTCCTCCCTCTTTGTCCAGGAGCAGTTGCTGTGCATATACACTTGGGGGAAAATGGTGGTGTAGTGTCACTGGGCTAGTAATTCAGAGGCCAAGCTAATACTCTGGCACTGTGGGTTCACATCCCATCATGACAGCTGTTTCAATTTAAATTCAATTAATACATTTGGAATCCATAATAGTTTTGTAATGGTGGCCATGAAACTATCATTGGTTGATATAAAAACTCAGCTTGTTCACTTATGTTGTCTTTAGCTGGTCTAGTTTGCAAGTAATTCCAGCAATGTTATTGATACTTAACTGCCATCTGAAATGGCCTAGCAAGCCACTCAGTTCAAGGGCAGTTGGGTTTGGTCATCAAATGCTGGCCTTGCCAGTGACATTCACATCCCGTGATGAAAGAATAGATAAATAAAAACCTGCCTAGCACAGGCAAGAAGCCAAATGAGATTACTAATAAAGCAATTAGCCAACATGCTTTGCAAATTTGACCAGTGATGCATGGGATCCACACAGTGTCTCCAGCACAGCACCCACCTGCTTCTTTCATAGTCAGCGGAGGTTAGAGCATCATGAAACTAGAATATACTCTGCACATTAAAGGTGTAAATTACAAAACACGAGGCTTTCAAAAGGCAGAGGCTTTCAGTTGCATGATTATCCCCTGCAACTGTTGTGCTGGATAATGCTGGTGGCGAAGAAGCGGCTGCCATCTCTCAGCCATTTTGTGCCTCCATTTCATCCTGCCTTCTCTCATTCCAGTCAACTTGGCGACATTCTCATTGTGAATACTGTGAATGTTGCTGGCCACCCTGCAACAGCGTGTGCTGAATTGCCTTTCTGAGACCTCAGCCCACCTGCTGACTAATGACTTTGATTCATGATCCCAGAGGCACATTTATATTTAACACATTGTACCAGCAGTGCTGCTAATTGGGCGCACAGCCCAAAACAGTCCCATGTCTGAAAAAAACTAAGTACAGAAAATTCAGCTCAACATGTCAGTAATATCATTCTGTGCATCTGTTAGAATTATAACAGCAGGCCAATTAAACTTTAGGCAACTGATTTTTATTAAGCACAATTGTACATTCTAATTATTTGATCTTATAATTAAAATCAATTTCACAGCACCTGATTTTCTTCTGTTTTAGTATGTTCTAGTATTGTGTAATTCCATTGGAACACCCTTGGATTCAAAATATATTGACATTGGTAAGTATACAAATTTGATTGGATGAAAATATAAAAATTCCGGTAGTGTGTGGTATTCCAAATGTGAATAAGAGTGGTAGTTGTTTGATTTGGTCAGTTTCTTCATATGTAACTGAATCAAATTCTTTTATATTTGGATCAAAATTCATTATGACAAAACATACTTTTGATAAAGAAATTGGGGAAAAATATTGCCTGGGTGGCAAGAAAGGTTTAAAATTGGCAGGAATGGTGGAGTGAGTTTGTCTTCCCACCACTGCTGTAGTTTTACCAGTGGTAGTATTGGTGGTGAATGGCTAGCATGTCCTTCGGCCAATTGAGGGCTTAAGTGGCCAAAAGGATTGGAACCTTGTCAAACAGAGTGACTACCACGTATATCCTGACGGGCTGAGAAAAATGGGGAATCCCTTCCTGATCAGTCATCCAGTGGCCTTCATGGGGACTCCCCCTTCAGTGGCCACTGTTTCCAATGACATTGCTGTGAAGAGCTGGTAACCATCTGATTGGCTGGCATCTCCTGGGCATGGGGCATCCTCTCTTAAAGGGATGAAAGCTATATCTGTTGGCATGATCAATGCAAAATTCAGTTAAGGCTTCCATGACAATGGAAATGAAGTTGCCCCTGAACTTTGGCTTGATGGGTGAGTCCACTACAGCCCTCTAAAATGCCAGTCATTCAGTTTTGTTTCTATTCAAATAATATATGGACTCTTAAGGGTTAAATTACAAGGTTTATACAGATTTATGCCCTGAAATTTAGAAAGTTGAGAGGACTTGATGGAAAATTTTCAAGATCCTAAAAGGAACAGACTACAGTTGGAAGGAGCTATTTTTGTTAGCTTGGCAGTTTAGGACTAGGCATCATTGTCCGAAATATGAAGCCAGACCTTTCAGGAATGAAATTTGGAAACACTGCAACGGATAGTCGAAGTTTGGAACTGTCTTTCGTAGATGGCAGTTGGCGTTAGATCTTGGATATTAATGAATATCAGGACAGTGCACTCCATTAGTATTCTAGCCAATTATGCTCATTTTAGGAAAGATCATAATCAAAACTAAAGTGCTTAGCCATAACACCAAACTGGCCCCACTGAATGTGCAGATGCAGTCCATGATGCCTGCAGGAAGCACCGCTGAGCTCCTCATGCTGCATTGATGTTTCTGCATCGCCGATATCACAGTGCTGGGGATGAGGGGTCCAAGGAGTCTGGGACGAGGCAGAGGTGATGATGACGGGGCCTGACGAAGCAGAGCCTGCCTTCCCCAATGGGTCTGTAAAGTAAGACTCTTTAGCTGCCACTCATTTACCACTCCTGCCATGAAACCTGGCTAGCTTCAGAGGAAGCTTACAATAATGATCCCAGGTATGAAGGGTTTGACACAAAAGGAGCGGTTGAGAACTTTGGGTCTGTACCTGATGGAGTTTAGAAGGTTGAGGGGCAATCTCATTGAAACTTACAGAATACTGAGAGGCCTGGATAGAGTAGACATGGAGAAGAGTTTCCACTAGTAGGAGAGACTTGGACTCAGGGGCACAGTCTCAGAGTGAAGAAACAACAAAGTTTTGGCAAAGATCTGTAGCTTTGGTTGTGGGTGAGGTTGTTGACTTGTCGCCGAGCTGGCTTGTTTTCATTCAGATGTTTCCTCTCCATGCTCGGTGACATCATTAGTGTAGCTTCCGATGAAGTGGTGTTATTCTACTCCGCTTGGAATTTATACTGTTTGGTCCGTGATGGTGATTAATGTCATTTCCAGTTTTGATCTGTATGGGTTTGTATATGGATGAAGAAACTGATACTTTAGAACTGAGATGAGGAGGAATTTCTTCAGTCAGAGGATGGTGAATCTGTGGAACTCATTGCCACAGAGTGCTATGAAAGCCAAGTCATTTGAGGGCATTTGAGACAGAGCTAGATAGTTTCTTGATTGGTAAGGAGATCAAGGTTACAGGGAAAAGGGCAGGAGAATGGGGTTGAGAAACATACCAGCAATGATCGAATGGTGGAGCATACATAATGGGCCAAATGGCCTAATTCTGCTCCTATGTCTTATGCCCTTATGGTTTTCAGTTATCCAGAGCTGGAAGGCCATACCAAGTGTCTGGAGCTATTGCTCTGCCTGTCCCACCTGCTGCTCGTATTGCTGTCGCTGCTGAAGAGGCGTATACCGCATGGTTTGCAAAGCACACTGCACATGGTCCAGTGACACTGTGTGCATGTGCCAATTACAACACAGCAGTGCTCCTCTGCAGTAAGTTTCTGTCACGTGGATGGGACAATTTGTACACACTTCTATTGCTTTTGAATAACTTCGGCTTTCTCTTTGTCCATGCGCCTATATGATTCACAGTCAATCAAAACAGCTGGTAACTCTGGCGCATTTGATCGAATCTTTAGAAAAGATTCTGCCATAGAGATTTATAATGTAAATGTTTTCAGTGGTGGGGTATAGTTTTGTAGAATTTGTTTGTCTTTATACCTTACTAGAAAATGGTAAAATTATCATTGCACTATTGATATCATACTACATTAAGCTATTCATCTGATATTTTATTTTGGTTCAAGTGACCATTAAAATCCTTGATAGGAAAGTAACAAAAAGGTTACCTGAACTGTTTATACATACAAAGCAACAGAAATCTCACAACTGGAAATTATTTGTAGCGTGATGGCTGTGTATTACCATGAAAAGGTAGATGACTAAAACAAAGATTCAGTTAACATGTTGTAAATTATTCTAGTATGTTTTGTGTTCTGAATACCTGTTTGCAAATGCTGTAATTCCCAAAGTGGAAGGACGTGGAAAGGAATTATTTTCTTAATTTGAATAAAGGGAAGAGTTTGGACCTTTACACATTTTTCAGTATTTGGTGAGACAGTAATTAGATTGACACTGTTTTCCTTTGAATATTATGTATCTATTATTTCCAATCATGTGTATTTGAGAATATTAAGAATTTGAATGTTTAGATTTGACCGAGAGAAACCAAGATATAAGTTGATATTTGTGTATTGGTGCAGTCTTATTGTCTGTTGCATACCTAATTACACTATTTCATCCATCTTCCAAGGCAGTTGAGTCTTTCTTTGGTGCTAATCATTACTGTCATTTATCTAAAGCACTACTTAGGTATAGATATTTCAGTAATGAATGCCTTCAACTTGATCGAAGAGTAAATATGTAGGTTGAGGTTTTTAGTCTTGCTTCTGAATGAGTTATGTTGTCTCACTAGCCTGTTTCAACAGTGAAACCTTTCATCACTATGTTACAGAAGCAGCCAAGTATTCTTCTCTTTTTCTGTCTCAGTGACATCCTGCAAAATTCTTTTTCAGTGTGGTAAACCTTCCGTACACAAGAGCAGTAGGATGTTGAGAAAATTTAATGTGTTTAGCTGACATAATGCTGGAAATAAAATGGTGTAAGATTTTGGAGTTCTCATCCTCTGTGCTTTGAAGTCTAGCCAGCTTCTCCATTCAGACATACTTGGTGTCCAGAAAGCTGGAAAGTATCTCCTAATAATTTTTTTTTAAGAAGTTCACAAGCAGCCTATATTAATAGACAAGAAAACTTTATTGTGTGATGATAGATTTAAAATATCTGAATGTAAACCTAAAAGCATTAACACTTTGACTTTACTATTCACTTGTTTTTCTGTTATGTTGAAAGAATTGAACACAAATAATGTTCTTTATGCTTAGAATTTTATGCCTTTAATTTCATAAATTCATAAAAAGAATTTAACTTAGGTTTATTATTTTGAATTATAGAATCCCTACAGTGTGGAACCAGGCCATTGGGCCCAACAAGGCCCATGAGCATCTCACCCGCACCCCCCCACCCCCCCACCCCCTGGCATTTCCCACAGCCAATCCAGCCAACCGACGCATCCCTGAACACAATGGGCAATTTAGCATTGCCAATCCACCTAACCTGCACATCTTTGGACTGTAGGAGGAAACCGGAGCACCCGGAGGAAACCCATGCAGACATGGGGAGAATGTGCAGATTCCACACAGACACCGAGGCTGCAATTGAACACATGGTCCCGGCGCTGTGAGGCAGCAGTGCTAACCACTGAGCCACCCTGCTATTATGTGCTTTGGATTTGCCCTGAAAAAAAAGTATAGAGTATTATATAAGAATTAACATGATTCATTTCAAAATGTCAATCAACTATTGAACAAATAAGATACTGCCAAAATTTAAAACAGCTCACAAAGCATACAGACAGCAAATTCTCCTTTCTATGAATTTCCTAAAGAAGCTTTATATGATGCCTCAAATCTAGGGACCTTTCTTTTTATTTCTCAAACAAACTTTCTATCCACTTCAATACTATCGTATTCTCCACTTTTTCAAAAATTGAAAGAATTTTGTATCCTATTTGTACCAGTAATTCTAAATTTTCAGCATTTCAGTGTGTATCTGTGGGCCGAGATGAGCTCTGTGTTTATGGTCTGGTCTTTGTAGTGATGGAATGAATTAGGAACATTTGTAAGTTTTGAATTTTTACAGTATTATAGCCATAAGCAGTGTTAATTAAGTCTTGTTTTCAAAGTTAATTTAGTGCAAAAACAAATTTTGTGCAAGTTTTATGTAAATATTTTGATGTTTACAAGATATTTCAATATTTAAATGTCTTCCACATGCTTCACCATCTGGCTCTGAACTTGCTTTACTGCAGTGAATGTGTAACTGTGATGAATGTATTAAGTGTTTGATGGAGATTGTATTTCAGATTCTAGCATGATTACCTGAAACATATATTGGTACCTATAAGAGCCGACCTTGAAATGTGGTTTATGATTCGGGAAAAGAAGTTAGACTTCATTACTAGCAATGTCAATATTTGTAGATGTAGAAAAATATAGAGCTGAATGTACCCATTTTGAGTTGAATTTTTGATGAAGGAGATTCATAGCACCCTCCACTATGGCTTGGAGTCACCTTTCTCATGCAGTATTTCATACTTCATTCAATCGATAATGCACCTGGGTTCT